TCAAATAATAATTAATTGAAATATAGATTTGGGACCAAACCCTCAGAAATATCAACCTTTCACGCGAGGTCGAAGGCAACTACGAGAAGGGCTTGGAATATTCAAGTCTCGCAAAGGACGTATGGTGATGTGTTTAGGCTAAGGCTAAGAAAGAGAGAGACGCTTATAGCTTAGAATGAGATTAAGATGATGATTGTTGGTGTATAATAATGGAGGAAAACGTCCCCTATTTATAGAGAAAAACAAGGGAAAAGATCAGAAAAAGAGTCAGAATTCGACTCGGAGTAAAACAGATTGTATCACGAAACGCCAACTATATCACGGCGCAATATAAGCATCGCCCATTGATATTTTTTGAAAGATAGAATCCGTATGAAATCAGACTTCCAATCAAATTGGGTTAATGGTATTTCCGTTCGTAATCTAGTTTTATTAGAATTAAACTTATTAATTAAAAAACAAGTGTTTTATCCGAAGTATAATTCTTAAATTTTATCTTTTCAAAAATCAGGATAAATTAAAACCTTCTAGAGGATTCTAGAACATATAATAAATCCTAAGGTTTTTAGGAATGATGTTTAAGGTTAATGGACCCTCCACATGGTCATTGGGTCGTAAGTAAGGTTCAGCTTGGGCTCGGTTTAGTATTTTGGCCATAACTTCCTTGTTATAACTCTGATTTAGGCTTATAATATATCGTTGGAAAACTCTTTTCAAACCCCATCCAACTACACAATTATTGGATCCATATTATGGACTAAAATAAACTTGTTTGGACTTTTTATAAAGAGGACACGAAATGAATGATTTTGGGTTTAAAGGCACGAATAAATGATTTTGGCCTAAAACATTTTAGGAAAGGTTAGAAATGGTCAAGGCTAAAGGAAATTCACGAGACTCTTCAACCCTTCACCTAACTCGATAATCAAATACGTGAAAGGTACTCATCACTGGGTTTGGTTTTTTGGGGAGACACAATCAGGTGTCTACAGTACCCTATGACCCGACCCGAGAAAATCGGGTACCCAGTTTTTCCGGGTCGGGTCATGGGCCGAGTTTTAAACTACCCGAAAATTCGGATAACCGCTTTTCAGGTACCCAAAATCCGGATCTGAACACCCCTGGTAACTAGTAGCTACTAGCTAGTAAGATGTGCAAGGTTGAATTCCGTATGGTCAAGCCACTAGCCTTAAAGTTTTGACCGAATTAGTCTAGGTACATACCAGTACTACATTAGCATCATACATATAGCACAGGGTATTTTGGTCCACTACAAGAAATAAGCTAATTTCATTAGTCAAAAATTCTCAAAAATTTGTTGGAAAAGGTTTGTCGGAAAATATGTTGTCGGAAATTACGAAGTTTTCCGACGAAACCACTTTTCTGACGGACGAAAAATCTCTATCAGATGAAAATTTCTTCCAATGGATATTTATGTTTGAAAGTTTCAACGGAATTAATTTCATCAAAAATTTCGGACGGATATTAAAAAAAAAAAAAAAAATTTAAAATCCAACATCAGACACCACCACTAACTGGATAACCCCACATAAACCCACCAGCACCAATTAAAACTAACCGACCCACCCCCAACCAGATTACCACCACCCACCCCACCCACCCACCCACCCACCCACCCACATAGTAGAGAGAAAAATAAATCGGGCCCATATAGTAGAAGAGAGATAGAGAGAATTTATTAGTTAAAAAGGAAGTGATTCAACTAATTTAAAATTTCGTTTTTAGAAAGTGATGCAACTAAAAAAATGGAGGAAGTATAATATTTTAACATATGCAACCCAAAAATAAAAAATTTTGGAACGGTTAAATTGTTGCATTAAAAACACAATAGCGCGATAACCACGTGTTTGCATTATATTTTTTGCACTAGTCATGTTTCTCTCTATTCTATCTATAGTAATATATAAATGAAAAGGAGTTTGGGTGATAAATTTTTCTTTCCCAAAATACCCATCTCATTTTTTATTTTCTTTAAATAAAAAATTACCTTCATTTTGTTTAAAATAACTACCATCAAATAAAAAAAAAACTACCATCCTTTATTAAATTAAAAAAATTAAAAACTACCTTTTTTTTTTTTTTTTTTTACAATATTATCATTTTTTTTAGGGAAGTCATATCCTTCTATTGCCTCTATAATTTCATCAATTTTTAAACACAGTAATATTTTTTAATTATAATTTTTTTTTTTGAAAGATTTTTTAATTAGAATAAGGTACATAATATTTCATGAAAAAATGAAAAATCGAGCCATATAATTTCTTATAATACACACGCAATGTGTGTGTGTCTCATAGCTTGTATTATTAATACAATCACTTATATCAATTAGATACTTCCATTGTAAAACGTTTTCCCTATGTAAGCCAATGTCAAACTTTGACACGTAATATCTTTAATTATCAATAAGTAAAAATTTAATGATGGTATATTAATAGTCTACTCATTAAAACGATTCCAGCAATTACCCACAAAACTATATATTTTTATTATACTCCCTCCGTTTTTAAATACTTGCTCCACTTTTCATTTGCGGCCGTTTTTAAATACTTGCTTCATTTCCTTATTTGGAAAGCTTTTACAATATTTAATTTATTTCTCTCAACTAGTGAACCCAACATAAATTATATTATATTAATTTCATATTCTCTCTCCTCTAATTCTCCCAACTACTTTTATTTTCTTACAATTTTTTATTTTTCCACCTACCCCACTACCTACATATTTTATTACCTTTCTTCAATTTCTCCTAAAACTCCACGCATGGAGATATGGAGCAAGTCTTTAAAAACGGAGGGAATATATAATCTATCAATCTATTAACTATTACTAAAACAAAACATTGCTGACATTATCAACCCTTAAACTGTCCTACATGTCATTCTCACATTAAAAATTTTCCCTCCAATTCTATGTGTGATATCATCAAATCAATTATTTATATTTATTATTATTATTATTAGTTTACACTTTGACTTAAATACATAAATGCCTATATAAAATTCAATTAACCAAGTTTCTCTCTTAAATTATAGTTTCACATACCTAATTTGTTTGATGTTTGGTTATGCATTTCAATTTTTTTTTTAACTTTCCTTAAATCTAAATTATTTTTATAATTAATTCTAATATTCATATACAATGTAATACAACAGAACATAAATTATAAAAAAAATTAATTTTAATCGTACATCGCACGAGGATAACCTAGTCAATGTTCATATTCCCAAATTTCAACTTTCAATTCCTTTATACTCTCCTGATTAATTCCCCCAAAATATCTTAATTGTCATGGTTTTTTTGTTATCCAACTTCCCTTCCAAAATAATCTCTTCTTAATCAGAACTAATTGATATCTTCCTCCCGTTAATTTATTTTTGCAAAGGTATTTTTGATGTCGACACTATTATTGGTGATTTTGCATCTAGAAATGCTCGTAGACAAAGTTTTGTATGATGATTTGGATACTTAATTTTAAATTTATTGTTTTTTTTTCCTTTACTGTAAATTGGTCTTTTTTTTCAAAGGAAAAAAACAAAATCAGATTTATTTTTCATTTTTTTACTTTATTACTCGATAATAAAGGCCCCAATTTTTCATTCTGCCCATTGGCCACCAAAAACCTAGGACCGGGCCTATTCACATGCATGTAGTCTTTAACAGGTTAATGCAATGTAACCTAGTTATTATTAAAACAGAGTATAATGACCTTATCACTGTTCACATGTCACTCTCTTAAATAAATTTTTTCACACCTAAATGTAAGAAAATTTTCATCTTTTTTTTTTTTTTTTGAGCTATCATATTTAACACTTTTGAAATTTAAATATTAAAAGCTTCTACATTACAATTACAACTTATCAATTTATTCTAAGAAGTTGAAACAATTTTAAATAGTAGCGCACTGATAAATGACCTGCTACATTAAAAATGTATTTGATAATGTTATACATGTACTATATCATAATTTTTACGAAAATTTGAAATTACAAATGTTTTTTTTATAAGGTGCATATTTGTTATTTATATTATAGCCTTTTTTTTAATGTACAAATTACAAAAATAGGTTTTATATAAATCGTGCATCGCACGGGTTCTAACCTAGTTCATTAACATTAGTAAAATTAGATTAGATAATAATGCAAAAAATATGGAGGGAGTATCTAACAGGGCAGCAATGCCTGGTTCGTAGAGGCATATGTATCATGCACATAGTACATACGTTTCATTAATAAAAAAAAATATAAAAAAAAGCGGAAAAGAAACATATTATTAAAATGTAATGAACATATAGCTATAACGAAAAGAACATACTATTTAAATGTAATGAACGTATACCTAGAAACCTAGAGTGAAAAGAACATACTATTAAAATGTAATGAACATAATATTATCATGTTTTTTATTAATATTACGGATAATATTTAGATATACAAAAAGAACATAAAGCTATATGTTCTTTAAAAAACAGCTATATATTTTTTATAAAACAGCTATTTATATTCTTTACAAAGGCTAGATGTATCATGCTTGATATATACGTTTCCACGAAGAAAATTTCAACAGGGCAGTCTTATACCCGCAATGTTAAAACATCACCAATTCTTCTCATGACCAGTTCAATGATCATCCACAGGCCCCTTCCGCTCACAGCTAACACCTTAAATAACTAAATAAGTTAGACATGACACAACTATACAGGCTTAATTGCTTAAAGTAAGTACTTCTATGCAACAAGCGCCACACATAAAATATCTTAGCCTCTTTGAACTTTCTTTGAAATTTCTTGATTTACATTGAGTGGTTTTCATAGATTCGTACGAGTGTACGACTGGTTTATTTATATACGTTAAAAGTAAATTCAAGTCAAGTACTGAAGTCAACTTTATATGCATTAAGTGATAAAGACAAAATACCCACTTGGACACTTGGTACTTCACATTATTCTAAGACCATCATTACTCATGGTATAAAAATTACATCACGCGTGTTGATGCTCTAACAATCCAAATTTTGGTGGTCCTTCCTTTGATAGTCTCAACTCAAGTCTCTCATTCTGTCAACTCTCAAGTTGTTAATTGTGACTCTCAACTCCTAACGTAAAAAAGTGATCCAGAGAACAAAAATGAGTAATTCTGAGCTCAGCGCAATGCTTTGTATCGGCCTGTTAGCTGCCGGTCTTGCTATTGCCGCTGAGTGCGCAAAGACTAAGGTTAGTTTTCTTTCTTTAATACCATAAATAATTTGTACCAAAATTTTATTCGGTCATTAAATTGTTGAAATAATGTTGTAACACTTGTGTGAGGACTTGAAGTTTTATTGATCATAAATTCATAATTATTGGAAGTTTTCCTGCTAAATCTAAATCACGGAGAGCTTCGTATTATTATCTTGAAATTAAAGTAGCTTCCCCGAAAATAAAACCTTCTTTGGTCATCAAAATGTCATTGATGGTTTTTAATGACCTAGTTGGTGTCAATTTAATTTTAGAGATATAGTGTGTCAATGAATGTAGTACGTGTTAAGTTTATGTTACTAAGTGTAACATTACCAATATTTTATTGCATGGAAAAATATGTTAATCAAAATTATTACGGTTATAAGATGAATATTTTGTGATAGTAAGTAGTTGATAACATTAGCTTTAAAATAGGGTTTAAGAGCACTAGAAAGTGACGTGTTATTTCTAAGATTTATTTTATTATTACACAAACTACTAATCATTTCGGCTCAAATAGATAGATTTTTTTTCGGTACTATTCCCGTATTATAGATCTAAATAGATAGATATTTTGTATTTTATTTCGGCTTAAAAGTACGGAAATTTTGTGAAGAACTACCTTAAAGATAGGCTGTGTTGTGGACAATTACCCGTTTTTTTTAATTTATTTATTTGTGAACAACTACTCATAAGATGACAAACGTTTGTCTAGCACTATCCATTTTTTTTATTTGTGAACAACTACTCATAAGATGACAAACGTTTATCTAGCACTACTCATTAACGGATTCCGTTCAGTTGTGCCGTTTGTGGGGCCTGCTCTTACGATTTCTTCCCCAATTCACTCCCTCCCTAAGAACCCTAAAGTCATGCTAAAATCCAGAAGAAAAAAATTGATCAATTCAACACAATTTCTCACTAAATTAGGTAATGTTTTAAGCCATTGATTTAATCCTTGGTCTCTTTGATTGGTTTAGGGGTTTTAATTTACTTCAATTAACATAATTAGATATTCAATTTAGGGTTTCAATTCAGTTTGGGGATTTTAATTACTAGAGCTTAGGGTTTGAATTAAATTAGGGGTTTTGCTTATTTATGGTTAGCGTTTGAATTGAACTGCGCAAGAAGATGAGTAGGAAAGAGAGAGATAGCTGTGAGAGGAAAGAAAATGGGTTTTAAGTCCTGTCAATTTATTGAAAAGGGGATGAATTTGGCGCACAAAGATTCGCTTAGATTAGTTTAAGATGGTGAAAGGTGCAAGGTCTAAGATGAGAAATAAAAATGGTGAAAGGAGAAGAGAGATACTTGGGGAGGGAGTTAATTGGGGGGAGAAATCATAGGAGTGGGCCTCACAAACGACACAATTGGATGGAATCCGTTAATGGGTAATAATAGACAAACTTTTACCATTTTATGGGTAGTAGTTCACAAATAAAAAAAAAAAGTGTAATTGTTCACAAAACAATCTATTTTTGAGTAGTTCTTCACAAAATTTCTCAAAAAGACACATATCCACCCAGATATTTCCATCAAAATAATCATTTTATTTGGGAATCTCATCGTGGCTCAGCCGTTTGATTTTATTTATTTATAAACTCCGATCTATTTTTGCTTTTGACGGGATCAGCTATTTAATTTGATTAATCTTTACATTTTTCAATATGCAGACAAAAGAATTGACCATTACCCAGTCAGGTACTATCTATGCTAAAACAGTTCTTTATAAATGTAAATACCCAGACAGCCGAGATCATAATTTTGCGGCAGCATCAGCAGTGGTCACGTTTGCCAACACGATTCTTATATTTGTTGTAAACTACCTTGCTTACAGCTATTACAAGGACAGAAATGACGAGCTGCCTGCCTTAGCTATCCTTTGTCTGGTTTTCTCATGGTAACGTTTAATACTTATCATGTTTAACTTATTCAAGGAGTAACTGAATACTAACAGTGTGTTTGGATTGAAGGAAATGGAGGGAAAGGAAAGGAAGGGAAATGAAGATGGAGTATCTTTCATTTGGATAACAAATGAGAAAGGAAGGAAATTGGAGGAAGGAGAAATGGAGGGATTAAATTATAGGAAATTGATCCCTCTAACAATGGAGATTTGGAAGGAAAACTCACCATTCTTCTCTCCCCTCCTCTTCTCCTCCTTCCCCTTCTTTTTCTTCCCCTTTCTTTATCCAAACACGTCGTTACGAAATATTTTCGACATTGTCTCTACTTAATTTTAAAGTAGTCTTTAATGTATACATGTGCAATATCATTACTACTTATTGGATGTCGGTTGGTTTATGTTAACACAAATTCTCTAAAAAGACGGGTATACGTTAATTTATTGTAAGACGGGTTAAAGTTATGTTAAAAAATATTTAAAGTTATCCTTTATACTATAAAAGTTATTATTTTTCTAATAATAAATTTCATCTTATAAAAAACTTATAGTGTATTAGATTAATGATATTAGCCTTTATAATATGTAATTATTAATTTATAAGAAATTACACATTCAATAATAATTAAACCAACAATAAATTAAAATTTACCATAAAAATAGCTAAAGTTAATCTCAAACGGACCATTTTACAATAAAATTAACATACACCCGTCTTACACAAGACTTATTGTTATGTTAATATTGTATATTTGTCGTGTATATCTTTTAGGAGTTTTAGGTAAGTTAGGTCTCTTTTAAATTGTATTATATATATTCTTGCCAAAAAAATTGTACTATACATATGGTCGTAAATACCAATATGAGACTAAGCCGTTTTCTCCAATCTCTCTTGAATTTAACACTATTATTTTAAAACAGGAAGATTAAAGGACATTTATCCTCTTCCTGATTTTATCATTTTTTCGCTTTTTTTTATATTTTTTTGTTTCAAGTTGTAAAAAATAAAAATAAAAAAACTTATCTCCATCCCCAAACGATTTCAATCAAAAAAATTGAACAGTTTTCATTTATACATAATATATCACAACTAGGTTAGAACTTGTGCGATGCACGTTTTATATAAAACCTATTTGTGATTTGTATGTGTTTAAAAAAAAATAATGGCTATTTTACATTAATATAAATAAGTATTAAATACAAAAAATATTTGTAATTTTAAAAAATTTTATTTTAATCACAATTATGATATAGAATCACATTTATTAGTTAGCTATTTAAAATTGTTTCAATTTCCTACGATAAATTGATAGGTTTTAGTTGTAATGCCGAAACTTCTAATATATCAAATTTCAAAAATATTAAATATGATAGCTCCAAAAAAAAAAAAAAAAATTGACATCATCATTGTATTTAGGTGGGAGAATTTTTATTAAGAGAGTGACACGTGGCCAGTGGTGATGTCAGCAAACACTATTTTAGTAATAGTTAATAGATATTATCCTTTAATTACAAAAAAATAATAGTTTATCTTTCCTCTCACACTTTTATTCTTTCTCTATCTTTTCTATCAACTTTTCTCTATTCCACCTTAAATCTATAATTTACTGTATAATTTTGTAAAAAAATTACTAAAAAGATTTATATAAACTTTAAAAAATAGGAAAAATTGCGAGGAAGTTCCTTTTAAGGAGTCGACCTTGTGAGGAAGGTCCTTTTTATGAAAAAGGTGGTATAAAAGGTCCTTTTATGGACTTTGGGTTGTGAGGAGGGTCCTTTGACCAATTTCCGGCGTTGACTTCTAAATTCAGGCCAAAAATAAGTAACGTGCACAACACGTGACTACTTTAGAAATTTGTTTTTTCTTTTTTTCCCTTCCCTGTTCTTCTTCGATTTCCCCAATTTGAGAACCAAACTTCAATTCCCAACTGCAACAACAGCATTCACATCCCTACAGCTCCACCACTTCAACCACCGTCTGCTACCATATTGCCACCACGCACCACCGCATCACTAACATCAGCAACACCCAAACACCGCACAACAATGTCCACAACAGCCACCGAAACAATGGCAACTCAGCACAAATCCTCTAAACTCGACCCTGCTACTCCCTCACGCACCAAATTAAACTTGAAACCACCATTCATGGCCACCGCACCACCATCAAAGGAAGATGGGACTTAAACTCCTCCGACCACCGCCACTCAACACCAGCTCCTCCAATTCGAACAGAGCATCCCTCAAAGAGCTTCAATTCAGCCAACAAGCAGCCCACAAAGCCTTCAATTGGCCTTCAATTGTAGTTTCTGGGTTAGAAATTGAAGTTTGGTTCTCAAATTAGGGTTAAATAAGGGAGGGAAATGGTTGGGGAAATAAGGGAAATCGAAGAAGTACAGGGAAAGGGAAAAAAAGAAGAAAAAAAAATTCTAAAGTAGTCACGTGCTATGCACGTGACTTATTTTTGGCCGGAATTTAAAAGTCAACGCCAAAGATTGGTCAAAGGACCCTCCTCACAACCCAAAGTCCATAAAAGGACCTTTTGTGCCACCTTTTTCATAAAAGGACCTTCCTCATAAGGTCGACTCCTTATAAAAACCTTCCTCGCAATTTTTCCTAAAAAATAATAGTGGTATTGAATTTAAGGGAAGATTAAAGGTAAATTTTTTAAACTTTATTTGAAGATTCTTTCCAAAATTCGTTTACTTTTTCATTGTTTTTACGTTTAATAACTATTTTTAACGAATTGTGCTTTAGTATGTTTTTTCTAGATTTGTAAAAAGGTATATATATATATATAAGATGAACTGCAAAAGTTTTATCTAGTTTCAAATAGTTTTCCAATAATGTATTTCTCATTGATGGTCGTGTTGTTGGTGTTGCCTAATAAACAGTATGGCATCAATTTCCGGTTCCAGTACGCTAGCTACTGGTGCTGCATATAGCAAACATCAGATTAACAGAAGTGTACCAGTAGATAACCCGGAGGATTGCAAAGTCTTCAGCAGTGGTTACTTTATAGCGGGTGCCCTTTTGGCGCTTAAGGCTTGTGCATTCGGAATCATGTCTTATAACAGTTTGATGAACAACGCTGAAAATGCCCAGCAGCTAAGCACTAAGCAGACTGTGGAAATGGGTAAGACAACGCTGGAGCAACCAGATATAAATGACAGTGTCGTTGCCGCATAAGATAATTGACACTTTGCTTGCGAAACTATTCCTAATTTGCTAGACAATGGTATTGTAAACTCTATTTGAACAACTATGTAGTATGTAGCTAACGAGCCTAGTCGAACTGGTACCGCTGCCAAGACATGAAACTCTAAACGTTGTAAGCAAAATTTGATTTGTACTTTGTTAGCTATTGCAACTTTTGTTATGCTAAGCTTTTTATCAGGACCGCACCTTTGAACTACCATTTTATCAGGCACTAATTGCTTAACACATGTGTCTTAGATAAAGGAACTGTTTGTTTAAGAATTCTGATGGTTTCTTAGACGATTAATAAGAATCCACTCTTGACTCTTAGCTTGCTCCTTCCAAAATTATTGAATGAATATTTGCATAGATGTGCATATAAACTAGTTTTTCTAATGAGGTACTAATATTCTGTATATTATATCAGATAATGAAAATATGAAATATGGAGAAATTCAAGACCCAAACCCGATCTGTAATCGAACTGAACTCAATCCAAATCCGAATTTGAGCCGATTTGAACTTAACTCAGCACTGATTTGACCCGATATCGAACTCAACCCAAAACCGATTTGATCCGACTTGAATTCAAACCAAACCGGTTTGACCCGACCCGAACTCAATCCGAACCAAAATTGACCTGAAAAATACCCGATTCAATCGGATCTTTTTTTTTTATCCGAACGGATATTAACCCGACCCGTTTTTAATCCAACCTAATTTTGGCTTGACATGATTTCAAACCAACTATAATTTTAAACCCAGCCTATTATTTACCTTTTTTTTTACTTAAACATATATTAATGACACAATATGAAAAGATGACGCATAGATAACTTAATATCTACCCAATAACAAAATAAAAAAAAAATCTCAATAATTACTCAAATTTTAAAAATGTACTTATTTGAATATTAAATTTGGTCAATCCAAACAAAATTCAGCCAAACACGAAAAGTATCTGAATCAAAATTAACCGAATATTGAATCAAACCTTAGTAAGCAAACCGAACATAACATAACCAAAATCAACTGAACCGAAACCAACCCGATCCAAAGTCATCCAACCCGAAATTAACCAGGTCAAACCCATTAACCCGAGCCGAATTTATCCAAACAGAATATGAACAGATCTGAAGTTGATCCGACCTAAACCCGATCTGGACCCGATAGATCATGACCTGAATTTGACATAACCCGAAATTGATATGAACCGAACCGAAGTGGGTTAACAAGGTAATTTTGAACCAAATATATCTGCTCCGAATAGATCCGACCCGTTCATAGATCAACCCAAACTCCATCCAATTATCCGAATTGACACCTTTATGCCGAGCTCCATCATACTAACGTCTACCACCTGATTATCATCAACGTGAACAAATTTAATCGATTATTCATTTTAAGGGGTTTAATTATATGAGATCGTGCGTACCTTAATCATTTTAGCATCGGCTATCCAAGCACAATCGCCGAACCTACAAAACTGACAGCTAAGTATACGAAGAGATTGTAGAAATTGTTATATACACCCGGGTGTATTATCGTACACCAATACTTGCTTATTTATTAAATGAGAAAAAATTAATGTGTAAATAACCCCGAGTGCAGTGGCGGATCTTGAAACTTTTTCTTTCGGGGGCAAATAATGTCTAGTATACGTTTAAAACAAAAATATAATAACATAAGCATATGAAAATTATTTAAAAATCCAATGTGAGATTATATTATAAATATTTCTTTAGCAAACTACTAAAGTAAGGCTCGTCTTTCTTTTAATAATTTGAAATCATCAATTATTGACTTAGTACTAAACGACTTAGAAATCTTTCTTTCAATATAAATAACTAAACTATCAGCCAAAAATTCATCCTCCATCTTGTTACGCAGTCTTGTTTTCATGATCTTCATTGCTGAAAATGCTCTTTCAGTGGTAGCTGTTGAGACAGGAAGGGTCAAAACTAGAAGTATTAGTCTATCAAACAAAAAATATACATTTGATTTTCCTGTTTGTGCCAAGTGTTTGCAAACTTCATCCAAGGTAGAATGATGAGTCAAACTAGGCTCATTTTTTGCTTCACAAAAATAGTGTTGCAATTGATACCTCAAATTGTACCTTTCTTGCTCTGTAAAATCCATGGGGTAAAGCTTTCCTGCAAGCAAGCAAACCTTCTCAAGATCAAAATTTTTAAATCCAACTTTGGGTTCTAACAAAGATGATAAAGTTAAGATCTCTAAAGTGTCATCATTAAATCTGTGATTTAGCTCTTGTAATTGTTTGTCAATTGCACCCAAAAATATTTCAACTCGATAAAAATGATTCATTGTAACTTGATCTTGTTGATGACGAGCTCGACCCCTACGAGCTATATAAGGAGAATTCATATCAGGTATCAAAATATCATGTTGTTGACAAAACAATACCACTGACTCTAAAAAACTTTCCCATCCATTTTCTTTCATATCTTGAATTAGTGCATGATTGGTAGACACTAATTTCACAGCATTGACAATATCTTGGGACTTTTGTTGTAAGGCTTGACATAAAACATTAGCAATTCCCAAAATTTCTTCCATTAAACGGGCAATGAACACAAAATCAAAGGAAATCATTAGATCTAAAGCAGCATCAACATCCCCAATTTGAGAAGAATTACAAGACTTATCATTCGAGATGTGTTCAAGTACTAACACTGTTGCATCATACATTTTCATCAAGCTACGAATAGAGTAAAGATGTGAACCCCAACGTGTATCTCCAGCTCTTTTTAAAGTACTCATTTGATTAGCTCCTCTACCAGTGTCTATTTCACCAATAGATAATAGCCTTTTAATCTCATCAGATTTGACAGATTGCACTTGGTCAACACATTTGGGAGATGAAACAACGACATTAATAATGAAAGTCAAATTTGAAAAAAACTGATGAATTATTCTAACATCTCTAGATGCGGCAACCAATGCTAATTGTAAGCGATGAGCAAAACAATGGACATAATAAGCATATGGGCAATCAGAAAGAAATAATGCTTGCAAACCATTCCACTCACCTCTCATGTTACTAGCACCATCATATCCTTGCCCTCGAATATTTTCAACAGATAAATTATGTCGAGCAAGAACTGAACACAATTCTCTTTTAAGTGTTGCTGCCGTGGTATTGGAAACTCGTATAAGGTCAAAAAATTGTTCCCTAATTGTTCCATATTTGTCAACAAACCTTAAAACAAGACCCATTTGTTCTCTTTTAGATTCATCTCGAGCCTCATCAACAATAATACAGAATTTAGAGTTACCAATTTCTTGTCTAATATAGTTGTGAACCTTATTTGAAATAATATGGAGAATCTCTTTTTGAATCGAGGGAGCAATATATTTGGCATTATAAGGAGCTTGTCGTATAGCTTTGGAAACATCTTTATTATATGCAGCCAACACCTTTCTGAATTCAAGATAGTTTCCTTGATTCTCTAAATTATTTGTTTCATTGTGGCTTCTTAAAGGACAAGATTGTGTAGTCAACAAGCGGAGGACATCGATAGAGGCCTTTAAACGCAATCGATTTTGCTTGATTTGCATTTCACTTTGTTTGTAAAAAACATTACGAATCTTTGCTTTTTGCTTAGGAAGAATCCTGTATAATTGAACTGTATTTCGATGAGATGTACATGGACCTTCACCAATATGAGCAAAGAACCCACAATGTTTCCCGTCATTGACTTTTTTCTATATTTTGAATCCGGTCAAAATAAACGTTTTTACCCGAGAATTTGGTGTTTCAGTAAACAGATAACAAGGTAGACAAAATGCAGCATCTTTAGAAGGTGAATATTCCAACCAATCTGGGAACTTAGCAAACCAAGTAGATTGAAATCGGCGACGATGCTTTGTAGGCCCTGAAAATGGATATTATGCCAATTAAGGTTGATAAGGCCCTAATTTAATATAAGCACGTCTTATTTCATTTTGTTTTCCAACTGGATAAGCCCATATTGGAGGACGTAACCCTGGATCACGTTCTAAAGTAATGATATCCACATTGTCATTATCAATAATCGATGGACCTTCTTCATGATTATGTGTCCGGGTAGGAGTATCTTCATTAATTGGATTATTTTCGTCGGGTGTTGTGTCATTTTCTGGCTCTTTCCGTTTGAAAAAGGAGGTAATAGATTTTTGTTTGTTCATATTTGTTTACCTGGAATTAATTATAAGTTAAATTTATTTTATAAACATCTTACCCATTTACCATGAATTACAGCTAAATATTTTAAGCCAAGGTAACATAACAATTAACAAAGTCACAGACTCACAGTTATGTGAAAGAAGCAAAATTTATGTAGGAAATTCAACCCAGTATTAGTGTAAAAATATTCAGTAATCAAGCCACAAACAACTATACACGTCTATACTATATTTTCTCTATGAAAACATGCCTTTCAACCCATACATGATACATTAATTGATTAATACATACAAATAATTGAAAATTTACATTAGAAATCTTACTTGGCTTGGGCTGTTAAAGGTTGGAGATTGCTTGATCAAGGCAAAATGCAATCAACGCGGCAGCTTTCCTTCAATCCTTCCTATCCTGAGTATCATCAATTATAACATTAAAATATGAAAATTAGGGTTAACAATTGGGGATTTTGAATTAGGATTAACAAGACATACTAAATTAATTAATTAAATCAATAATTTCAAGATATAGTATAAAAAATTAAGAGATTTCAGATTTAAAAGACATACATGGATTGAGGCAACGAATTGATGAGCGAATTAAAGAATAGTTAAAGTTGAAGGTCGAACGGAAAGCGTAAGCAAAGAACAATCGAAGACTGAGGCCGTGAGGCAGGCAGGCAGGGACGGTGAGGCTGGGCCTGGGCAGCTGATGACTGGTGAGGACGGTGAGATCGATGAATTTAAGTTATACTTTTCAAGGTTTCTTTTCTTGGGTTAATGAGTTTCATCTTTGCTGTTTCAGTGTTTCTGTTCTTTCGTTCCAGACTTCCAGCTTTTTTTTTTTTAATTTTTTTTTTTAAATTGGGCCTTAATTTTTTTTTTTCCAAAAGTTATCAGGGGCCAGGCCCAGTGTAGCCCCCTCTAAAGGTCCGCCCCTGCCCGAGTGAATGATATACCCGAGCGTACAAAACAAGCTCTCTCGAGATTGCACTACATGAAAATTGTCTTTTCGTATCGATTATTTCGTAGCGATTATACATTTGTTACAATATGCACGTATGTTTGTGAAATAGTAGAGGAATTCGTATCATTTTACAATCGACATAGTAAACCCATATGAAATCGAAACGAAAAATGATAATATTAATTTATTCACTTTTTTTCTCCACATTTATAAAATTATGGAAAAGTGTATCGTTTACAATCGCCACTAAAACCCAAAAGTGGATACGAAAAGACTTTGTTACACTAGATTTTAATATTTTGTTTGACAAAGAGAAAAATATTTCATACCTTATTGGAAAAACATTTAATATAAGAGCTTGAGATTGCATGTTCGAATCTTGTATAGATCATATGTAGGGATTTATTTATTTATTTTTTTTTAGAAAATGAGTTGAACAATTGTAGCGATTATAATCCCTACAAAAATCACATGATTGAATGTAGTTTTCCGTATCGATTAATAATGACAATATGGGAGAGCCACAACCATTTCGCACCGGTTCAAAATCCCCATTTCGCACTGGTTTTGAAGCGATTAACTCACTTTTTCGCACCGGTTTGGTTCAAACCGGTGCGAAAACTCTTTCCCTCAATCCCGCCTGTTTATTTTCGCATCGGTTTGCACCGGTTTTAAAAACCGGTGCACATTTATTAAAATTACCTTGACAAAATACTTTTCAGATTGATCCCGTTTCCTTCTATTTTTTGTTTGTGCGATGCCCATATAAGTTTTTCAACTAGTGCATGTTGGACTTCTCTTACTTTACGGTTGTCCTAAGCTTAATTTGATGCTTTGTTTTACTCTAATTAAATTTCCTAACTCACATTTTTATATTCTTTAATTAAAAAAAAATTATTTTCTTTCCTTTTCATCTTAATCTTTTTAGTGTTAGAATTAATATTAAGGAGTAGTTTTATTACAAGAAGAACAAGTTTGGTATGGTTATGATATTAAAATTTACTCCTCGTATATTTTATTGTACGTGTTTTGAAGTCAATTTGAAGTTGTAGAATTTAGCCAATTAAAGATGGCAAAAATTTGACTGATTATATTAGCATTTAAATTATGGTAGATTTTACATTTTCTTATAAGAAATGATATTTGGCTCTCAGTCATACAAATCTTGCCTGATATATAAAGATGGTCGTTACATCTATACACTTTATTACCTTTAATAAGCACAGAATGGTATAATGAAAAGGCTTGTATATTTTACAATCTTGAGATTGTAGGATCAAATTAAATTCAAGTAGAGACACTTTGATATTGGTATTTCCTTACCCTTCTGTTAGTAGTCTGAAAGGGTTTATCCTACTAACATAGTTAGGTTGACTTGTGAGAGATTTCCTTCTTTTTGTCCTGTCAGAAAAATCCTTGCTCCATTATCAATTTATTATGACATTATTGAAAGTTTCAGGTTTTGTCAAAGCATATTTTTTACCAATAATAATTTTAATCATTTAATTTAAAAGAAAAAATATAAAAAATTAATATTATGAAAATGTATAGTAAGGTGAATCTAACAAAATACTCCGTAACTCCATAATGTTTTTCCCAACGTATGATTCATAAAAGACACTACCCAATAAAAGACACTACCCAAAAAAAAAGAAAAAATGAGTGAGGGATAGCTCAAGTGGTTAAAGTTTCATTTCCGATTCTAGAAAATCCTGAGATCGATTCTCACCTCGCGCTTGTGGCTCTCTAAATACCGGCTCTCTAAATACCCAAAAAAAAAAAAAAAAAAATTGAGTGCATAATGCAAATTAACATATATGTATGGGTTAGATGGTGAACTAAGTAAGAGTCCCTTGATGATTCTATCAGTACTTAGTAATAAAATTTGACATCAAATATAAAAATCACAATTGACTCGATGCTTATTAACACATTAAAAACAAAGAATCACAAATTGTACAATCTCCTTAAAACTTTAAGAAGTAACCTTTCAGGACACGATATCAGATCAAACTCCACAAACAAACTATAGAATTCAAACATATTGCTATTGCTAATTGCTTGGGATTGTTCGAGCATATAGAGACAGCATCAAGCTGAGAAATTGCCATAGCAATGCCACTTTGATAAGGAACCGCTTGCCCGGGTGTCAATGGCAATGGCCGAGAAGTAGTAGGCAGAGCATAGACCTTGGCTACATCCAGTAACTACCATCAAGCCACCAATTTTAAATAAGCCAAGTTTTAAGAAGGTGTAGCAAGTGTTTGTTGCAGCTACAAACTCTTGACAACCAACACGTTTTGTTTGTGGCTAATCATATCGTGTGGCCACTTATACAAGAACTAAGTAACCCTTAAAACAGTGGCCGAGTAACCCTTGTAACATACGTTGATCGAGTAATCCCTATAACACTGATGAATTAGCCCCTGAACACTTACCAAGTAACCCGATAACACTCACGAAATAACCTCTATAATGACTTATCACACGATGTGGTTAGTCACATATATTTATCAATTTGTGTAATTGATAAATTAACACTCCGTAGGTAAAATTTTAATTATCAATTATGAGATAGTTTTGCAATACCTACAACAACATTGTATGAAAATAGATTTATAACCGTCGATATAAAACAAAAATTTTATAACTACACTTTAGTTTTGACCACTAAAAATTCAATTCTTAAAAATCCCTAATTTTTATTACATCGATAACTTCATGTTCTTCTTCTAAAAATAAATCATCATCATTAACGACAAAATTTCTAAAATATCTTCAATTTGGCCTCGCACTCGTAATTTTGAACAAGCATGTTTAATGGCATGGAATATTCATACACTGCTTGAAGAACAATTCTCACAATTTATAATTTTAAATAAAATTATATCGATTCAATTGAAGTCTACTCTAGAAACATAAAGACAAAATACCCAGACCACTTGGTCCTTGATTATTTTATCAACCGTAGTTTTGTTAGATTTATTATTTGATCACCTTAGAAATTTTCAATTATTTCAAAAAAAAAAAAAAATGAAATCAACTCAAATGAAGTCTATGTTAAGATCACTACAATTTAAAAAATGAAAACAAATATAAGCCTTAAAATTTCTTAGCAATACGTGAATGATTTCCTACGAAATATGAAGAAGAAAATAGTTTTCTAAATTTAAGAAGTCATATTTAGAATATAGGATTTATATAAACTTAAGTTATGATTTGTTATATTCATCCCAAAAACAAAAGAAAACATAAAGGAAAGAGAGAAGCATTAAGATAATTTTTTAGAGAAAATTCTCGGGTGTGATTGGGGTGCATATGGTTGAGTTATAATAAGTGTTGTGAACACTTGTGTATTGTTTATCTTTATCAATAAATTTTGCAGCATAATTAGAGATACAAATATTTGTTCATTTATTTGTATTATTCATATATATTTTTATTCCCACTAATCTGATTCTAAAGGGAATTTGCATAGTATTTCCTAACAACTGGTATCAGAGCCGAGTTGATATTATGTCGACATTCAGATAGAAATCGTTAGAAACGATCCTAAGAAGTCAAATATGAGTGGGAGCAATGGCTGCAGACGAAGGAAAAGTAAGCCTCGAAAAATACGATGGTGCAAATTACGGGTTATGGAAGATGCAGATCGAAGATTATTTATACCAGAAAAAGATTTATGAACCTCTTTTGAAAAAAAAGCCAGATGGTATGAAAGATGAAGATTGGAATCTTATAGATAGACAAGCCCTTGGAGTTATTCGGCTAACTTTATCACGCAATGTTGCTTTTATTATAGCAAAGGAAAAGACCATGGCATGTCTGATGAAAGCTCTCTCCAGTATGCATAAGAAGCCATCGACTTCTAATAAAGTTCATTTAATGAGACGGTTATTTAATTTGCGGATGACAGATGGCGGGTCGGAAGCTCAACATCCACTACTACAAATCCCGTCCTTTTGAGACGCTTTTTTCCAGTATTTACGACATTAAAAAGCGTCGTTATATTTTTTCTCGACGCTGTATAAAAGCGTTGAGAAAAAGTGAGTCGAGAAATTCGCGACGCTTTTTTGTGTCACAAATCTCGGCACCCTTTAATGTACCAATATTTTGTGACGCCTTTAAGTGTCTTCAATATTGACGCTTATTAATGTCTAAAGAAATACTAACCGTCGAAAATATCGGCATTCAAGCGCCACCACCAAATTTCTAGACGCTTTTTCCTGTACATATTGTCGATGTTGTTTTCGGTCCCAAAATCATTTGAGACGCTTTTTGATGTCCATACAAAAATAGTAGCGGGAAATTTTGATACTGATTAAAGCAAAATTTCTTGACAAGAAAAAGCGTCTAGACTTTTTTTACTGTTTTTTATACATAAAAAAACGGAGGTAGTAATTTAAATAAAGGTTTTTTCAAAAAATATATATAACATTAAAGAAACGGCAAAACATATATAAATTTAATAAAGTTTTTGTCAAAATTAACAAACAAAAAAGAGTTGAAATCCAATCACTGCTGGCCTACATATATACTATCACTGATGGATGTTAAAAAAAAAACCTAGCCATATCCAAAATATCATCGTTATTATTATTATTATTACATATATTAACTGCCAACTAAATTAAAAAGTTAGATTGAAGCCTACAAAAGTTTACTATCTAACTAACTATAAACAAAAAATGAAGGTGCATAGTAAGCTAATTTCCAACTTCAGTAGGTTTTCTTTGTTCTCCTGTTGCATTCATAACCTTCAAAAAAAAAAAAAATAAGTATATAACATAATACAAATAGTCATATATACAAATGAATTGAAACCACACAGACACCACTCCTTTTAAAAAGAAATTTAAAATCCAACTGAATTTTCACAACCAACCTCCCTCTCCCTGAGTGTAAACCTTCCCTCTCCCTGCCTACACACCTGCCCCCCTACCCTGCTTGCACACTACCTCATTGTCTGTCTGCACACTGCTCCCCTCCTCGCCTGCCCCCTTACTTGCACACTTCCCCCCCTTGTGGCACACGTGCCCTCTCCCTGCCTACACACCTTTCCCCTGCTTGCACACTTAACTCATCCCCAAACTGCACTTTTATTCCATCCCTGACTGCCCCCATCCCTAGCTTCACACATGAACTCTGCCTGGCTTAACACCCCTCACCTGCTTGCACATAAAAGTCATGAGCATCATCAAGTGGCAGTACAAAAGCTAAGACGTACATAGCAATTAAGCATAGCAGTTTTTATCCAGCCAACTTAGTATTAGGGTTTATTTAATTTTTTACTATTAACATTATAATTTGTGTAATATTTCTTGTATCGAAGTTAAACAAGATAATACTTGCAAAATAGATATAATAGTACTGCTCCAATAGAACCACCCAATAGATGTAAATATCACCCTTCTCATCTACTTTTAATGATTATCTAGGAATTGAAATAAACTATAAAAATATTCCTATAAGAATACTATAGGCAAATGAAGACATCTGTCAAATCCACTACTCCATATTTCAGATATTGCATTGCAACTATATATATAGAACAAAGGGAAATGTTTGAATCATATCACCCTTTACACATTGAAACTTCTAAGATGAGGGAACATCTTGCAATGTTCGGACATTTGAACAAATGCATATCAACTGAGCGTTATAGCGTTATTTCCCCCTGCACATATATTGATATATAAAAGCATGGGTGAAAAGGCACAAGCCGTGGACAACAAGCCGTTTTTCAAGAAAATAGAAGATAGTGTCACATGAAACATCCAATTGGGAAATTTAATCAAGCCTACTCAATTGAAATAAGTATATGACATACACTAATTAAGTCAGAATCTTTAAAAATGTATTCTACTTTCCCAAAACCCTTTAAGTGCAATTTCTCTAAGATAAGTGAGCTAATATCTAAGGTAGAGTGTACCTTCTTTTGCTGCAAAAGTACAGTAAGAGCATACAATCTGTGCGAATCCAGATGCTGAACAAGGCTGAAAAACAGAAAAGGTAGTGTTAGTAAGCTTTTACATTTTGAAGGATTCAAAGCCTGAGATGAAACTAATAAAACAAGGTTGAGATGCAAGAAAATAGGTTGAGGAAGCAACAACGCAACATGAGTAAACAGTATACAAAAGCACATGAAACTAATAAAACCAGAAACAAAACATTTATAGTGGAAGACCAAGCAAGATTAATCATTTAAAATTGCTACAATACAAATGTTACAGAAGCAATGAATGTTGTCATCCATGCTATCAATATGTTATTGACACAAAGAACCAGGATGATTCTATTGCCTATGAGACAAGAGCAGCAGTTCAAAGCTAACTGATGCTATCTTTGGGGGTGAAACTCAAGCAATGAAGGATGCATTCAGTCCCTTTACAACCAACCTATCTCATACTGCAACTGCGTAGGATGAAACTCATAGCAAATCCAACCTTTTCTTGCAATCTTGCTTGTACTAACCAACAGCGCACATGAAGATCAACCCAAGATAGAATGATGTAGAACTTAAGCTTTTGATCATAAAGCATGCTTGTCTTTTAAGGAAAAAACATATTTTGCTATTAACTCCATTAGGTTAATCAAAACATAGTACTTGAATATATTTCTAAGATAAATATATTTTAAGGACAAATTACTTGCTCGGAACAACATCCTGCTGTGAAACTAGTTGAAATTTACAGCAAGGAGGCTGCTAGTTTCACAGCAAGGTGGCTGGACAATTTTAGCATGGTTATGTAAGTTTGATTACCCCCCCTATTTCCCCTGTAAGCTTCGGTTTTAAATATATTTTTTTTTTGGGTGCGGGGGAGGGGGGAAGAAGTAACAAGGAAATACAATAGAATGATATGAAGGGGTGCACTTATAAGGAGACCTAACAAAAGAGACGGAACTTCTTATTGGGAGTTATGCGTACTAGGCATGAAGAGAAGAAAAAAACCCTTTGGCTAGAAAATCACTTCAGATGACAGTTGGTTACCAAAGTTACTTTGAGCAGTTTTAAGATCAAAAAGTTTAGTGATGTTTATAAATGATATAGAAACCAATTGATCCTAGAGTCCTAGACAGTAAGAATGAAGGCAGGACATCAACTTTTGTGTGGATATTTTTATTTATTTTACAGTTTTACCGGAAAGGAGGAAGGTACGTTGACAAGATACGCCCTCTTAGAATTGGGAGGAGGGGTGAGGATTGACTTAATGCCTACAGAAGAAGAGATGTTTTCCGGTGGAGACCAACCTATTTCTCATGGTCAGATTATGTTATTAAAGATCCACCACAATCAACAAAAGCACTGAGATACACCAGCACTAACCATCCATCTGTCCTATTCAGTTTCCATATGAGGCCTGATTCATGACCTTGCATAGAGTGTATACTATCACCCACATTTTCTCAAAAACTCTTAGCACCCAATGGCTAGAAATTCAAAATAAAAAATTAAAAATAACCTACTTATGGACCATTTTACAGCTAAGTTTTAACTACCAAAAAAAACTAACAACACTCAAGATTTCCACCTTCTCATCACCAGTGCATAAACTCTTTTGCAGCAGAAGTTCTTAGCAAAATTATGTAACCATTAAGTATCCACTTACCCCTAACTATCCCTCCCTAATAAGTAAGAACCTAACTACCACCACCACACTAACCCCTCTTTCAAGCCAGCACACCTTCAACTTTTCCAAACAACTCAAGACAATCTTTAAAACAGGAAAGTGATATCACAACAAAGCTAGAAAATTCAAAGCTAGTAACATTACCACATAAAATCCCAAACTAAAACCCTAGAAGACGCCATCAAATTCATCACAAAACCCATAAAAAACTACAAAAAAAAACAAGGAAACCTTAAATTTGAAAACAGAATTCACGGAAAAAGAACAAAAAAAGAAATTAAATTGTCTAATAAAGGGCAAAAAATTACCTCGCAATAAGAGACTGATTCTTAATAATACAACAATAAAATCCAAACCCCAGAGAAATTCATCTACCAAAAACATAAATTATTATATACCAACAAAAAATTAAAAAATAGAGAAATTAAAATTAAACCTGCTCTGAGAAACATCATAGATCTGGCCCTTAATAGCCATAAGCAAAGGCTTCTTAGGGTCAGTACCATCATACTGTTTCAATTCATCTTCATGAAAGGCTCCATTTCTTCTTCCATAGACCTATGACGTTGATCCTGAGGAGTAGACGATCCAAACACCACAAAAAACATGAAAATCCATAACATTTTCAGCTGAAAATCTCAAATACCAAATTGAAGCTACAATCAACAATTTACCAGCTAATTTCTGCCCAAATTTATCCTCTTCATTGATCGAAATAGCTATCAATATCAACAACACATAACAAACCTTAAAAGTACGAAAACAAACACAAAAATCAACTAAAAATCAACTTCAAAAGATGAAAAAATAAAATAAAAATCAAAAACGAACAGCGACCCTAATTAAAAGTTTGACAAACAACAGCCTTATCTAATGATCAAACTGAAACTTCACAGCCTACTCAAACGCCATTGCCGGAGAAAGAAACCCTAGATTTCAATACGACGACGGTAGAAATTGCAGAAGACGGAGGTTGAAGAAGAGGAAAGAGAGAGGGCGAAAAGCCAAAACGAGAGTTAAATCCATTGCATCTGAATCAAAAGTAATTGAACACAAACAACCTGGACCTTGTTGGCTTTGAGCACGGCATTAATCGGACGTTGTACTTGCTGCGGAGGTTGCCGGAGAGTGCAACACTTCATCTTCTCTGGTTTTTTCTGGGTTAGGGTTAGGGTTAGGGTTAGGAGAGAGAGAGGGCGAAAAAGCCGAAAATAAGGTTTTAATTTTTTGACATATTATTTTTTCCCTAAATTTTGAAATTGCGGGAAGTAATGATTCACGTGTATGACACGTGATTTTCTCAACGATTTTTTATGTCTAGACAAACCTTCGACCCGTAAAAGCGTCGAGAAAAAGCTGAACCCAAAATTGTACACTGACGCCACATCCAAGGCATCGAGGCAAATGCGTCTAAAATATACGGGTTTTGTAGTAGTAATCTTAATGAGCTCAATTTAATCACAACCCAATTGAGTTCAGTCAAAAATGATTTGAAGATGAAGTTCAAGCATTGATACTTTTGTCTTCATTACCAGATAGCTGGAATGCTACAGTCACAGCTGTGAGTAGCTCGTTAGGAAGCAATAAATTGAAATTTGACGATGTTTGTGACCTAGTTCTCAGTGAAGAGATCTGACGGAGAGAGTCGGGTGAATCATCAATCTCTTTAGTTTTACATACAGAGTTAAGAGGAAGAAATTTAACCAAAATAAATTAACGTGGAAGATCAAGCTATCTAGGTAAATCTAGAGATAGGAGATCAAAATCAAGGACTCCCAATAATTCCCGAAGTTTATTGAGTGTTGGAATTGTGGGAAGACAGGGCATTATAAAAATCAGTGCAGGAGTACATCGAAATACCAAGAAGTAAAGCCAGAGACAAATGTTACTTTTACCGTAGAAGGAGATGATGCATTAATATGGTCTTTAGAGAGCAAGGAAGAATCTTGGGTGTTAGGTTCTAGAGTATCACTCCACGCTACTTCAAAGAAACAATTCTTTGAGAAGTATGTCCCTAGAAACCTTGAAAAAGTATACCTTAGAGATGACCAACCTTGTGATATTGTTGGTAAAGGTGTAGTGAAGATAAAGTTAAATGGGTTAGTTTGGGAGCTGAAGTAGAATGTCAGGCATATTCCCGACCTAAGAAAGAACTTGATTTCAGTTGGGTAGTTGGCCACCGATGGCTACACTACAAACTTCCAAGATGACAATTGGAAGATTTCAAAGGGAGTAATGACAATTGCTCATGGTAAAAAGAGTGGTACTCTTTACATGACATCAGGGTCATGTTGTTCAATATTAGTTGCAGAAGGAAATAAAAATTCAAAATTGTGGCACCAAAGGCTTGGCCACATGAGTGAGAAAGGGATGAAACTAATGCATTCTAAAGGGAAATTACCAAGTCTTGAATTTATTTATATGGAAATGTGTGAATAATTCATACTTAGAAAGCAGAAGAGGATAAGCTTTCAAACTAGTGGTAGAACCCCAAAGAAGGAAAAGTTGGAGCTAGTTCACTCCGATGTTTGGGGTCTAACAACTACTTCATCTATCGGTGGAAAACACTACTTTGTCATTTTTACCAATGACCACTCCCGGAAGGTATGGGTTTACTTCCTAAAATAAAAATCTGAAGTGTTTGAAACTTTCAAGCATATGAACCGAACGTTGATAGAAAGAGCCAGAAGCATTCGTATACAGTACAATTTACCGAAGCAGTTTTGGGCAGAAGCAGTCAACACAGCAGCTTACTTGATCAACCGAGGACCATTGACTCCATTAGACTATAAAATACCAGAGGAGGTATGGACTGGAAAAGATATAAATTTATCTCACTTAAAGGTTTTTGGTTGTGTAGCATATGTGCATATTAGTGATAAAGGTAGGAATAAGCTTGATCCTAAATCTAAGAAATTTACTTTCATTAGCTATGGCGGGGATGAGTTTGGATACCGCAGATGAGATGATGGAAATAAAAAGGTGATCTGTACTAGAGATGTGATTTTCATTGAAAGAGTCATGTATCAGGATAGACACAAAATTGAAACTAGTGACTTAGTGAAGAGTGGGTCAATGTTTGTAGATGAAGATTATATCCCCGATAGTATGGTGAAAGACTCACCTGTAAGAGAACCTCAACAACAAGAATCTGTTGGACAGATCCTTACACCACAGTCCAACATGCCACAAACTTCAATTCTAGTCCAGCATCAGTATTGAGAATGACTACTCGTCCACATGTACCAAACAGAAAATGCATGAATTATCTGTTATTGACTGATAAAGGGGAACCTGAATGTTATAATGAAGCATGTCAGGTAAGTGATGCTAGGAAGTGGGAGCTTACAATGAAAGATGAGATGAATTCTTTGATTTTAAACCAGACATGGGAATTAACCGAGTTACCCTTGGGTAAAAAGGCACTTCACAACAAATGGGTATATCGAGTGAAAAAGGAGCATGATGGTTCCAAGAGATATAAAGCTCGATTAGTAGTTAAAGGATTCCAACAAAAAGAAGGAGTTGACTTCAATGAGATTTTTGCACCTGTTGTGAAACTTAATACCATTAGAACAGTGTTGAGTATTGTTGCCATTGAAAATCTTCATCTTGAGCAATTAGATGTGAAGACTGCATTTCTTCATGGGAAAGAAAATATGGTGTGCAAACTTAAGAAAAGTTTGTATAGCCTAAAACAAGCCCCGAGACTGTGGTACAAAAAGTTTGATAACTTTATGCACAAGGAAGATTTCTAGAAGTGCAATGCTGATCATTGTTGCTACATCAAGAGATATCAATTCAGTTATATCATTCTACTACTTTATGTCGATGATATGTTAGTAGCAGGTTCAAATATGGATGGTATAAGAAGGCTAAAGGAGCAGTTGTCAAAGGAATTTGACATGAAGGACTTGGGTCCAGAAAAGAAAATTCTTGGAATGAAAATTGCAAGGGATAAGCATAAAGGTACTTTTCAATTATCTTAATCAGAATACATCATACGTGTTTTACAGAGATTTAATATGAGTTATGCCAAGTCAGTTAATACACCCTTGGTAAGTCACTTTCGATTATCCATGGATCAATCTCCTCAGACGGAGGAAGATAAAGATTATATGGCTAAGGTTCCATATTCCACAGCCATTGGTAGTTTGATGTATGCAATGTTTGTACAAGACCGATATTGAACATGCAGTGGGAGTTGTTAGCAGGTTTATGTCAAATCCAGGAAAAATTCATTGGGAAGTAGTGAAGTGGATTTTGAGGTATCTATGAGGTACTACAAAAAGTGCTTGTACTTTGGTAAAGGTGATTTAGCAGTACAAGGTTATGTCGATGCAGACTTTGGAGGAGAAGTCGATCGTCGTAAAAGCACCACAACTTATATATTCATGGTTGGAAATACAACGGTTAGTTGGATGTCGCAACTACAAAAGATTGTTGCTCTATCCACTACTGAGGCTGAATATGTAGCGATAACCGAAGCTAGTAAGGAGATGATATGGCTTCAAGGTTTGTTTACTGAGTTGGGATTCAAGCAAGAGAATAATAATGTATTGTACAGTGACAGTCAAAGAGCAATACACTTGGCAAAGAATTCAGCATTTCATTCTAGAACTAAGCATATTGGACTTCGCTATCATTTCATAAGATCTCTATTAGAATATGGAGTGTTAAAACTGGAGAAAATTATAGGAACAGAGAATCCAGCATATATGTTAGCAAAGACAGTGACTATTGACAAACTGAAGTTGTGTTCAACTTTAGTTGGCCTACATAAGTAATATACGAGAAAGTTAAGCTGTATGAAGTAAGGTGTGAAGACAAATTAGAATTAGTCTTCAAATGGGAGATTGTTAAGATCACCACAATTTTAAAAAAAGAAAACAAATATAAGCCTTAGAATTTCTTAGCAATACGGGAATGATTTCCTACGGAATGTGAAGGATAATATAGTTTTCTAAATTGAAGAATTCATATTTAGAATATAGGATATATATAAACTTAAGTTATGATTTGTTATATTCATCCCAAAAATAGAAAGAAAACATAAAGCAGAGAGAGAGGGTTTAAGAGAATTTTTTAGAGAAAATTCTTGGGTGTGATTGGGGTGCATAGGTTGTGAATTATAATAAGTGTTGTGAACTATTGTGTATTATTTATCTTTTTCAATAAATTTTGCAGCATAGTGAGAGATACAATTATTTGTTCATTTATTTGTATTATTCATATATATTTTTATTCCCACTAATCTAATTCTAAACAGAATTTGCATATTATTTTTTAAGAGTCTACTCTAAAAACATAAAGATAAAATACCCACTTGGTACTTGACTATTCAAATAAGTAATAAAATACCCACTTGGTACTTGACTATTCAGATGAGTAATAAAATACCCACTTGGTACTTAACTATTCAAATGAGTAGTAGTTAAATGTGAGTCGTGAGTCGTGAGTCGTGAGTCGTGAGTCGTGAGGTGAGATTGTGAGAAGTTTGAGAAATTAGAGAGAGCAAATTATGGGCAATTTTGAGGTCAAAGTAGTGCTATTTTTTGGCTTGTCAGCTGCTGTTCTTGCTATTGCCGCCGAGTGGACAAAGGTTAAGGTTAGTTCGTTTTCGTCATCCTCTCACATTATCAGTTAGTAAAATATTTATCAACTGCTAAAGAGTCGTTCGTTGTCAATTGGTTTAACAATAATCCGTAAGTAAACTTTTTTTTTTTTTCAAATACTTTGCACTTATTAAAGAATGTTTGACAAATTTTATCAATGTACTAACATTTTTTATTGGATGAAAATAGATGTACTAACAGTCTCACATAAGTCAAATTAACACCGTTACATGTTATATTGTACCCTTATACTACCTCCATTCTTGCATTATTGACTTACTTTACCTTTAACACTATTTACATTCTATTTTTTGACCATCTTTATTGAGTTATTATATGTAAATAAAAACTTGTCCTTGAATGTGGAATTTCGTTAGAATGGGTTTTAAAAAAAATGTAACATTATGTATATCATTTTCCTTTATGTAATGAGCTTATAATTTTTATTCAAGCTTGTTTATATAATAACATATGAGTTCTAATCGAGTATTGACCAAACTTGTTCAAAAGTAATTTGCAAACATATCAGCTCATTTACACCGGGCCTTTAGCTAATTTTACTTGTTTACAAATTATCTTTTGTTTAAAAATGCATACGTACTCGCCTATAAACTCATCCGATTAAAAAAAAAAAAAAAAATCAAAGTTAGATTACATATATTTTGTTCGGACCCTTACAGTGGCTGATCAATCACATAATTTGATATTAAATTAATTTGATTAATCTTACATGCTGCAATATGCTCGCAGAAAAATGAAGTGATCAAGACAAATTTGGTGAATCGTTATGGGCGTCGTTATTGTGAGTACCCAAGGCGTCGAGATGGGGAATTCGCATATGTAGCAGCAGGACTCGCGTTTTTGAACATGAAGTATATAATATATATAAACTCCGTTGCTTTCTTTGCTTATATGAATAGAACTGCCAAACTACCAGTCATTGCTATCATCTGTTTCATTATTTCCGGGTAATCTTTAGTACTTTTGCTGTATACTGTAATGATTAAAGATCGAAAGGAACAAAGGGGTTGATAGAGATACTCGATCATTTTTTTAATTTAGTTATCTAAATCGTGTGTTGATGTCTAATAAATAGGTTGGAATCATATGCCGGGGTCAGTACACTCGTTACAGGTGCTGTAATTAGCAAAAACCAAAAGAATGAAGATTCGCCGTCTAATTGCAAAGTGTTTAACAACGGTTACTACATTTCGGGTATCGTGTTGTTGGCTAAGGGTTGTGGCTTCGGTATATTGTCTTATTTGTGTTTGTCCGACGATTCTGAGCAGCAAAGCACTAGTAACCAGGCTGTGGAAATGGGTAAGACAACGCTGGATCAATCGGGTATAAATGAGAGTGTCCATATCGCATGAGATTGTAAACTGTATTTGATTGGTAGCTTTGTCATTCCTAGACAATTTAATTGAAAATTCTACAATACTCATTCTTAAAATGTTGTAAACTTTATTTGAACAACTATGTCGTAGCGGGTGAGCCTAATTGGACTGGCACTGCTGCTAAGGCATGAACTCTGTATGTTGCAAGTAAAATTTGACGAAGCTTCTAGCATAATTGTCGACTACGGATGACTATGGACAACTACAATAAGATATTAAATCTGAACCGTTGATATTGTTTGTTGCTTAATCTAAGCCTTTAAATATTACATTTAAAAAAAAATAAAAAATCTAATTTACACATCATTCAACTCATGACCACTCAGAAAGGAGCCCCTGCACGTGGCATGCCGGTGATCACTCTCTTATCAGTTTTAAATTAGTGGGCCCACACATATTAGTAATGAAAATAACTTTGAAGATTAAGCTTAGATATGGACATTTGTGCTACATATTGTATCTTTAATTTATGCGAAGTATTCATTAATTTTCACTACTAGAAAATAGGCTATTTCCGACAAACCTGTTCTGACGGACACGTAATTACGTCGGAAAAACCGAAAGTTCCGACTGGTTTGTATTCCGTTGGATATTTCCGACGAATTCAAAAAGTTCGTCAGAATTCCATCGAAGATTTCCGACGGAAATTCCGTCGACATATTTAATTAAAAAAAAATCTCCCCTTTAACCCTAATATTTTCTGAAGCCCCCTTCACCCCTCATATTTTCAGCCTCTTTTTCTTTTTCCTCTTGTCCTTCTATCTCCTCCTCTTCTTCTCTTTCCTCCCTCCTCTTCTTTCTATACTGAGTTCCCCCTTCTCTCGCGTTTCTTTCTCTTTCCTCTTCTATTTTCTTCTATCATCTTTCCCTTCTCCTCTTCTGATTTCTTCTTTCTCCGTCCTCCTTTTCTCTCTCCGTCATCAACACCGTTGCGAGCCACCCAACAACAACAACCACGGCGCAACAACCACCAAACATCAACACCGTTGCGAGCCACCCAACAACAACAACGGCTACATCAACACCGTTAATTTTTTATGTAATTGTAATGTTAATTATAATTTGATTAGATAATTGTATATTTATATATTTCCTTTAATTTTTGTTGTTTAGTTATCATTTTTTTTTAAATTTTTTTATAAAATTCGGTTAAAATTTGTAGATCTACTGGTTTTGATATTTTGTGTGGTACATTTCGATTTTATTGTGTTAATTTTCGTATTTTTGGGCTAATTTATGTTTATTTGGGGTTAATTTTTGGTGTGGTGGTGTCGGTGGTGGTGTGTGAAGGTGGGATAGGGGCTGGTGTCGGTGGTGGTGGTTGGCGAATCTGGGTTAGGGTTCGGTGGTGGTGGTGGGAGGGTAAGGGTTAAGGGGGAGGGTTAAGTACGGTGGTGGGTGGGTTAGGGTTAAGAGGGAGGGTTAAGAGCGATGGTGGGTGGGTATAGGGTAGAGGTGATCATAAATTTGGGCCGGGCCGGGCCTTAATATCAAATGTCATGCCCAAACCCGTCCAAAAGTGGCAGGCTTATCGGGCCAAAACGAGCTTTTTCGGGCCGAGTTCGGACTTTTTAACTAAAAAATTGATTTTTAGCTTGTCCAAACCCCCCCTATTTTCAGGCCGAATCGGGCCAGGCCATTATTGATCACCTCTAGTATAGGGTAAGGGGTAGGTGTGGTGGTGGGTGGGCTAGGGTTAAGAGGGAGGGTTAAGTACGGTGGTGGGTGGGTATAGGGGGTAAGGGGTAGGTGTGGTGGTGGGTGGTTTAGGGTGATTGGGGCTGGTAGCGATGGTGCTGGTTTTTTTTTTGTTTTTTTTTCAGCAGTTTCCGACAGAATTTTTGTCGAAATTTTCCGGTGGATTGGTATTCCGTCAGAAATTTCCGACGGGATTTTTGGTGCCAGAATCTTCCGATGGAAAATTCGTCGGAAACACTTTTTCGACGGAATTTCCATTGGAAAAGGTCGTTTTTCCTACAAAAGGGCTTCCGACAACCGGTTCCGACGGAAATTCCGTCAAAAACTGGTTTTCAGACGGAATTCAAGGTGATTCCGACGGAATTTTTCCGTCAAAAATGGCCTGTTTAATTTTCTAGTAGTGTTTTGGTAATATGTAGCTTTTAGGGTTACAAATAAGCAATAAATATCTTTCCTTATTTGGTATTAGTATAGGAATGCATGATAACATCACGCGCAAATCAGTGTAATTAATGAAGATATTTCACAAATACTTTTCTCTTTTAACTTCTTATACATAGCCCTTAGGGCTATATATAACATTTGTCATTAATTTTTATAGATTGATTAATTGCAAATTAGTAAAAATGATACTTGGTAAATATATTTAATTTATCTACATTTAGAGGATTACCAAGATAAAATGAAAGCAAAGGTTACTCCAGGGGATTGACTGTTGTAGTCGCTAGGCAAACAAGCACAGCGAGCTACAATACTAATGGTTATCTGAGCGATAAATGTTAGCTAAGCTGCTGTGTATCCAAGTATGTTTGCTGGAGAGCTTGGGTATTCACATGTATTGAATTCCGTTATACTAATATCCGATAGTTGATAATCATCAATTTGAACAAAATCATAAATTATAATTCAAAACAAGATCATAGCTTATTACATTACTACTAATCTGAATTATGTTGTGTTTTTCATATTTACTACGAGTATGTGGATTGTTTAATTTGTTTCTTCATTTTAAAATAAATTTATGCTTCATTTCTTTTATTCAATTCTCTTCATCACAAACTAATAACGTGATGGTATAGTAAACACAAAGAGTCATATATCGTCACTTAAAAGTTCAACTATTATTAATATCTCTTAATAAACTCGCAAATTCTTTTCTTATACATATATAATAAAATCTATTAACTAGCTAGTTTTGATTGTTAACGAATAATAATCAAAAGAAATGCATTAAATTAGTTAAATATATTACCTTAATCTTAGTGGCTTCAGCAGCAAAAGCAAGAGCAGCAGCTGCCAAACCTAAGAAAACCACAACAATGAAAACCACAACTTTGCCCTCTCCCATGAATATTAACCTTAGCTCCCTTGATTATTGTATAATCCTCAGCTTAATTAGTTGCTCAATAATAGTCCTAATATACATTATTAATATCTATCTTCTTTAATTTCTATTTTTCTCTGACTTTCCTTTTCATCATTACCTTAATTATTTTAGTATTAGAGCTATTTATTAGTTTAGAAGAACTGGCCTTTTGTACAATTGTACTTCTAAGTTGACTAGTCGTATATATTATACGTGTTCTCAAATCTCAAGTATTTTTAAGTCATTCTCTTTAAAATAAATAAATAAATAAATAAATAAATAAATAAGCCAAAGCCCGCAAAGATTGACTGATTAATTGATTATGTTAGTTTTTTGGAAAATTTGAAAAATACCACCACGTATTGTTCACATTTTGTATAAACCACATCAATTTTTTTTATTTGTATTTTATCACCTATTTTTCTCAGAAAAATAAAAAACTCTTACCACTTTTGCCCGACACTCCTATATGACGTCACGGTGGGTCCCACTAACCAATTATCCTTCGAATTAATTTAGACATCCATAAATTTAATTTATGAGTACACAAAATGAACATGTCTTTATATGAGTACACAAAACGAACATGTCTTTATATATTGGTCTTTGCAGGTTACCAAGGGCTTATTAGTTAATCTCGTTCGTTTTTAATTTAGATAACTTGAAGTCAACAACACATAATTGCTTAGCCAAAAATATGATTAGACCGTCCCAGACAATTAAAGATAGTCTCAAAAAAAAATTACTAAGATGAAATTGCCTTTAATCAACACAATTCGAAGAACAAACATTGAAATTAAACGCATTCATAAGGCTTAATACTTTTTGTCACTCAAATGTTTGACAAGAATATCCCTACAAAAATCACAATTCACATAGTATATTTTTTAATCCATTTTTAGGTACCTCGAATTTATATTTAGAAGTACCCAAAACAAACTTGTTTAATTTTTTACGACTTACAAGGATATATATTGCTAAGTTAATTTAGTATTCTTGACTAGATTTATTGCCACTCTAGCTAACCAATGCCTCATTAGCTCAATGACAGTTATTATTAAAGTAGAAAGCCCGAGTTTAAATGCTGAAAGTAATTTTTTGGCCAAAATATTACCTATTACGTAACGATCTTTGTTAGAAAGCCCTTATCTTAATTTATGAATACACGAAAAACAAACATATACTTGAATGTACGTAATACGTAACTACGCAACAAAGAACACAACTAGGTGGTCCCAAACGACTACTAGTTAGTCCCAAAATAAAACGCTAAAAAAGATCAGTTTGCTTTTAATCGAAGGATAATTATAAAAATTCATACACACAAGAATCCTAGCAATTTCTATTAGTCTTATTGTTTGCAACGGATTAATCTTGCGTTGAACAAAATTCACAACCCATAGAGCATACATTAGTTTCGCTTTTAGATATGCCTAATATAGTTTTGGGCGTAGTATCTAAAATTTGAATTTAATTAGTCAATCATAAAAATTGAAAGATAAGACTTTATTAAAACATAGAACACGGTGGATAAATTGTTTCTCATTTTGGGTATATCTAAGTTATATTTGGGCGTACCTAAAACAAAGTAGTTCAATTCTTTTTTAAAATAAATACAAAAGTATCGGGTTATTTGGGATAATCATCACATCCGTTTTTAGTACTCTTGATTAGATTTACTATCACTCTATCTAATCAAGGTTTGATTAGCTAAGTCACATTTCTTATTAAAGTAAAAAGACCGTATTTAAATGCTGAAAAGAGTTGCTTGGCCATACACTACCTATCAGGCTATCACATAACGATCCTTGTTTAAAACCCCCCTTATATCTTAATTTAGGGATACACGAATATATATACTCAAATGTACGTAGTACGAACGTAACAAAGAACATAATTAGGCGGTCCCAAACGACTATTGGTTAGTCCCAATATAAAAGGATAAAGATTAGTTTGTCTTTACTCGAAGTATAATTATCGAAATTCATACACATAAGAATCCTAGCAATTTCTATTAGTATTATTATTGTTTGCAACAGAATAATCTTACGTAGAACAAAACTCACAACCCATTGAGCGTACATAAAACTTTTAGATATCCCTATTTAATTTTGGGCGTACCCAAAATTTAAATTAACATTAAAGACATTATACAGTTATCACGCATAAACTATATTGTTTGGTTTTGATTGCCAAGTAATGATTGGACATTCTTATTTTGTTATGGTATGATGAGTTATATAATTTTAAACACAAAAGTTTTAAAAAATCAGGTCTACAGTAATTTATTATGTGGTAGGGAGAAATATATAGGAAAGAATTATGGGTAACTTTTTGATAGAATATGATAAATATTCTAGATATTATCTTGATAGAATATAATAAACATTCTAGATATTATCTTGTATAGAAGGATATAGTTTTGTGAATATTCTGTAGTTATCTTTTGAGATTTCCTATCATAATAGGACTCATAGTTGTAACCCTATATATAAGAATCAATGGAATACACTCCAACCTAAGGGAGTTTACATTATCTAACATGGTATCACAGCCTAGGTTTTAGATCCAAACCTAGCTTCCGCAAATAATTCCTTTCCCAAATTTTTTCCTTTTCTCGATTTTTTTTTGTGCCCTAGCCGTCCCCCCTAGCCACCCCTAACACCACTGTCGTCTTCCACCATGGTCAAGGACGGTGAATCCTCAGTCTTTCATCCGGCTCTTGGTGTTAGTAACATTAAGAATGTTATTCCTCTAATTCTTGATCGTGAAAAAGTCCAATATTCTAATTGGGTTGAGTTATTTGAGTGTCATGCTCATGCTTTTGATGTTCTTGATCATATTGACCCAAAAACACCACGTCCTACAGACCTTTCCGACACTATGTGGAAAAGGCTTGATTCCGTTGTCAAGAATTGGATTTATGGTACTATCTCTACTGATTTGCTAGAAACAATCTTGTGCAAAGGGGATACGGCACAACAAGTTTGGGATAAACTTAAGGAAATTTTCCAAGATAATAAAACCACTAGGGCGGTTTATCTGGAAAAACAAATTTAATCAATTGCACCTGTCAAAATTCTCTGACATCTCTTCTTATTGTCGGGAATTAAAGAATTTGAAGGATCAACTAGCTAATATTGATCAACCTGTGTCGGAGCAAAAACTCATAATTCGACTAGTTTCGGGACTAGTGAATACGGATTTTGATACTGTTGCTGCGATGATACAACAAACAACCCCGTTGCCTTCATTCGAAACAGTGAGGTCTCGTTTTTACTTGAGGAGTCACGGCGAGCCAATGACTCACCATCACAGGCCTCTTCTTTTGTGGCTTAGTCCGGCACCACTACGAACTCGACAGCCTCACAATAGCAACAGGCGGCACCGGCTAGTCAGGGTGGTAGCTCCAGTGGTCGTGGTCGTGGTCGCGGACAAGGACGAGGCAGGGGTCGTGGCCGAGGCTCTCTATAACAGCAGCAACAACAATCAGGCCCACAATGGGATGCATTGACCTCAACAGCCTTCACAGTGGAATGGCCCACCCAATCAGGCCCAGCAAGCCTCCCCACAATGGGGTTAGGCACCATTCCCTTATCCTTAACAGTGGGCTAGCCCACGACCTCCATACACGCCACAGCAAACAAGGCCACAACAGGCCTATTTCTTTGGGCCTCCACAACAGTCCCAAGCAGCTTACTCTTCTCATGGATCGGAGTATGGTTTGACAATGACTCCAACCGAGCTGGGAAATGCGTTTGCAACAATGAGTCTCCCCAACTACGATCCGTCTTGGTACATGGATTCTAGAGCCATTTCCCACATGACAAATGATGCCGGTAATCTCTTACCCCTTTTTAATTTAAGCACATCTAATTATATTCAAGTGGGTAACGATCAACGCATTCCAATTACGGGTTATGGTCATTCCACTATTGCTAATAAATCTCTTTCCTTGCGTGATGTTTACTTAGCTCCCCAAATTATCAAAAATTTAATTTCTGTTAGAAAGTTTACTTCTGATAATTCTGTGTCAATAGAGTTTGATCCTAATGGTTTTTCTGTGAAGGATCTACGAACGGGGAATCTAATAACCAGATGTAATAGTACCGGGGACCTTTATCCTGTGCCCACAGCACTGACAACATGTCTAGCCACTTCTCTCACAGCCTTGTCTCCATCCACGTGGCACAACCGCTTAGGACATCCAAGGGCACCCACCTTTGATTTTCTTAGAAGTAAAAATTTGATTGATTGTAATAAGGAGCACGACTCCACTATTTGCGTAGGTTGTCAATTAGGAAAACATACTCGCTTGCCTTTTCATAATTCCAATAGCACTACTTATTCTGCTTTTGACACTATTCATGCCGATTTGTGGACTTCTCCTATTAGTAGTGATAAAGGTCACAAATATTATCTAGTTCTATGGGATTACTATACTCATTATGTGTGGACTATTCCTCTTGTATATAAGTCTCAAGCTTTTCAAACCTTTCTCAATTTTCGACAATATGTTCTAACCCAATTTGAACGTCCTATTAAATCTTTTCAAAGTGATCATGGTCAAGAATTCGACAATGACACGTTCAAATTATTTTGTGTCAAAAATGGATTGGTTTTTCACTTCTCTTGTCCTCACACATCTTCTCAAAATGGCAAAGACGAACGTATGATTCGTACTCTTAACAATGTTAAGCGTACTCGATTGTTTCATGCATCACTTCCACCGGCCTTTTGGAATTATGCCTTAAAAACGACCACTTATCTCCTAAATATTATGCCTACTAAAACTCTTAATCAAATCACTCCGGCTCAAGCTCTATTTGGGGTTGTCCCGTCCTATAATCATCTTAGGGTCTTTGGGTGTATTTGTTAACAATGCCTCATAAGCTTGCACCTCGCTCCACCCCATGTGTTTTCTTGGGCTTTCCTTCCAATCATAGAGGCTATAGGTGTATGGATATCACCACCAATAAAATCATATTTCTCGCCATGTCACTTTCGATGAACATACTCTTCCATTTACACATATTGCTAAGTTTCAATCGACTAATTACGATTTCCTAGCCTCGGATGACCCATCACCGCTCTTGCAACACCACATCCGAATGCAACCCACACCACGCACACCTACCAGCCCACTCCATAGGCGGGCTGTGGCGCTGCTCAACAGACCACTAGTGGGCTGCGACCAACAACCCAGCCTGCACACCACACAGCACAGCCCACGCATTCCACAGACGGGCTGTGGCGCTGCTCAGCAGGCCGCAACTGGGCTGTAGCCAACAACCTAGCCAGCACGCCACACACAGCCCACTCCACAGGCGGGCTGTGGCGCTGCACCCTCAGCCACAGGTGGGTTGCGGCCCCTGCTGCCATCCTCACCTACGGCCCAGCAGGGTGCTCCCATAACCCACACACCTATGGCCCAGCAGCAACCCCAACAACCCACTTTGCCACCTCCTTCACACCACTCAAATCAGCCCAACAGCCCTTCTCCAAGCACCTCATCCACATACACACCACCCCCACTTCACGGCCTAACGCCAATTACTCCAACTAGACCACTGCCATTATCACCTCAAATACAAACTCGGTCTAAGCACGGAATAGTTAAACCAAACCCAAAGTTCAGTCTATCCGCCATCATTCGTTCCCCGCTTCCCAAAATCACAAACAAACCCTTTCCGACCCAAATTGGAATAATGCGATGCGTGTTGAATATAGTGCTTTAATTGAAACGGGAACATGAGATTTAGTTCCTAGGTCTTCGGGGGTGAACATTGTTAACTGTATGTGGTTATTTCATCACAAATTGAATGCTAATGGTGATCTTGAAAGACACAAAGCTCGATTAGTTTGTGATGGCAGGTCTCAGGTAGAAGGTGTTGATTATGATGAAACCTTCAGTCCGGTTGTTAAACCGGCCACTATACGCACTGTTTTGAGTTTGGCTATGGCTCGTGAGTGGTCTATTCACAAACTTGATGTGAAAAATGCCTTTTTGCATGGCGATTAGAATGAGTGTGTGTATATGCATCAACCTCCCGGGTTTGTTGACAAGAGATTTCCAGGCCACGTTTGCAGGCTTCGCAAGGCTCTATATGGTTTAAAACAAGCTCCAAGGGCTTGGTATCAGCGATTCGCTAACTTTCTTTTGCAGATGGGTTTTGTCATTGCTAAAAGTGACAATTCATTATTTATTTTCCGACATGGGAAAGACATGGCATATTTGCTATTATATGTTGATGATATTGTGTTGGTTACTTATTCAAATCTGTTGCGTGACCGCATCATTTCTCACTTACGTACTGGATTTCCAATGACTGACTTAGGTCCTCTCAATTATTTTCTGGGCATTGTTGTTACTCGTACTCCTTCATATATGTTTTTGTCTCAGCAGAAATATGCAAAGGAGATTCTAGAGCGTGCAGGCATGGCTAGTTGTAAACCTGCGGCGACTCCAGTGGAGACTCAATCCAAGCTTAGTGCAGAGACAGGCCCTCAGTTTCATGATCCAACACTCTATCGTAGTCTTGCAGGTGCACTACAGTACCTCACTTTCGCTCGCCCTGACATAGCTTATGTAGTCCAGCAGGTGTGTTTATTCATGCATGATCCCAAACAGGCTCATTATGATGCATTGAAACGCATTTTGCGTTACATTCAGGGCTCCATTGATCACGGGTTACATTTATATCCTTCTTCATCCATGCACTTGATTACATATACTGATGCAGATTGGGGCAGGTGTCTAGATACCCGTCGCTCGACCTCGAGTTATTGTTGCTTTCTAGGGGACAATTTCATTTCATGGTCGTCTAAGCGTCAACCTACTCTTTCTAAATCTAGTGCAGAGGCAAAATATCGAGGCATCGCTAACGTTGTTGTCGAGGCATGTTGGCTTCGTAATCTAATTTTGGAGTTACATTGTCCTCTCTAGCAGGCCACTGTTGTTTATTGTGATAGTGTTAGTGCAATTTATTTATCTCATAATCCTGTACAGCACCAACGCACCAAGCACATCGAAATGGACATTCATTTCGTTCGTGAGAAGGTGGCGTTGGGGCATGTACGGGTCTTGCACGTTCCATCTCATTATCAGTTTGCAGATATTTTCACGAAAGGTCTCTCTCGACAACTATTTTTGGAATTTAGATCCAGTCTCAGCGTCCGTCTTCCTCCCGCTACGACCGCAGGGGTGTGATAGAATATGATAAATATTCTAAATATTATCTTGTATAGAAGGATATATTTTTGTGAATGTTCTGTAGATATCTTTTGAGATTTCCTATCATAATAGGACTCATAGTTGTAACCCTATATATATGAATAAATGGAACCTAAGGGAGTTTACATTATCTAACACTTTTGATAACTTTATGGATAACTTTTGATAAGTTTTATATGTTCTTTTTTTATCTTACCAATTTTGCTTAATACCTTTAGTGGTAAGGAAAATGCCCACTTTTTTTTATCCAATTTTGCTTAATTGCGTAATCGGAACAGCCTAAATTGATTGCAATAACCTTCAAATATTCTTTACTAGGATTCTATAATATTTAATTGAGACCGCCTAATTTGATTGTAATAACCTTCAAATATTCATTATTGAAATCTATAATAATTAACTGAGATTGCCTAATTTGATTTTAACGACTTTCAAGTATTCTTTATTGGGACTCTAGCTATAATACTTAATTGGGACTTCCTAGCTAATTTGATTGTAACCTTCATATATTATTTATCAAAATTGTAATACTTAATAGGACAGCCTAATTTGATTGTAATAGCGTTTAAATATTCTTTGTTGAGAGATTTGAGACTATATAATACTTAATTGAGACTTCCTAATTTAATTATAATAACCTTCAAATATTCTTTATTAGGATTCTATAGTTTGTAATACTTTTTTGAGACTACCTAATTTGGTTGTAATAACTTTCAAATATTCTTGATTAACCTACATAACACTTATTGGGACTGCCTAATCTATACTTCTATTTCAAAACAGGAAAATTTAAAGGAAATTTAGAGTGTCCACGTGTCCTTTTCTATTTTTCATGATTTTTTTTTCTTTTTTTTTAAAAAAAATTTTTTGTTAAAAAAATAATTGAAGCAAAAAAAAAAAAAAAAAAAAAAAAAAAAAATCTTTGATGTTTATCTTTCTATTTGTTCGGTTTATTCCCCAAACAATGAACCAACGCTTCATTCACTTCTCAGTTTTCAATTAATTTATACATCAAGGGTTGCATTAGTATTTTATATGATTTTTTTCATGAAGTGTTGCATTAGTTTTTTATTATATATTTCTTAATCAAACTCCCATTTTCGTTACCATTCAAATCAAAATGCACTTTACTTTCTTCCCTGATTAAATTTCAATTATGAGTGTAATCACTCTTCCCTTCTATCTACCCCTAATCATTTTTATTCATCCCCAATTTTTAATAACTAAAGCACTAATTCATTACTCTAATATTAATTACTTTCTTTTTTACAAACAAAATTAGCAAAAAAAGTACAATGCAATTCATGATTTTGTATATATATTTTAACTTATTTTCAATTTGCTTATTCATTCTAGGTTTATGTCAAGTTGTGTGAAGTTTTTAGTTTGAATTGATATTATTTGTTGAAATATCTTCGCATCCATCAAGGTATGTTTCTTTGATTTTTTTTTTTCTTTTGGAATAATTTATTGAAATTTTAATCATGTGTCAAAAGCAATATTAAATTGTATGTGTGATCATTCTACTGTTTTTTTTTTTAATTGTTTAGTTTGCATCTTTCTGTTCCTCTCAATCTATATATGTATATATACTTTTAATCGATTTTTTAATGCACTTATTTTTGGGCATTCTACTAGAAGTAGATTTCATTGAACGAAGTAGATCATTGTGTTTTTCCTCATTTTGCATTTGAGTCAAGAAGGTTTGTCGCTAATTAAGTTTTAATCCATATAAAAATTTTTAATTGACAGATATTTTGAAAAATAGAATGGTAGTAGGCATGGCTTTCAATGTTGTTCAAGAGTTGCAATCTAATTTTTGGCTAGGAAAATTCGAATTTAAGGAATTATATTTCACACATATGTTTGTGATTTAAAAAATTTCCCTATTTTCACTTTTAAAGGCGCGGCATACACAACTTGATCAATCCATCCATTAAAAAAAATTACAAATATAATTTGTGCATCGCACGGGCTGAATACTAGTTTTATTGTAATAACCATCACATATATACTATATTGGGACTCTATAATACTTAATTGGGACTGCCTAGTTTTATTGTAAAAACCTTTAAATATCTTGATGGAGTCTACATAATACTTATTGGAACAACCTAATTTGATTATTGTGCATTGAGAGCTTACCCTTTTTTTTAATTTTTTTTATTTATTTCGAACTACACCGTAATCGTTTGGGACATCCTGATTACATTATTGTTATTATGTATATATTTAACATGATTATTTGAAATAACTTTGGTGAAATATTCATATATACATTAATTTATGTAAAACTTAAATATATATAATTTAGGTATAATTTACATGTTTATTTTGACCATAAATATAACTACGTATATTATTTTTATTATTGAGATATCTTTTCAAATATACTTAATTTATAATTTTGGGAATACGTAATAAATATTTGGGACATCCTAGTTATTACATACATATATATTTTTTACGTAGGTAGTATATTTGCAAAATGGTCATTTATACTTGTCTTTAATGTATTTTTGTTGAATTGAAATTATTTTTATTAAACTAGTTTAATTTAATTTTGCAAAACTAACGTTAGAAGTTGACATGTGTCCTTTAATGATGTCAGCATGTTTTATTATAGTAATAGTAAATAAATAAGGTGAACAAAAAAGGCCCTTAGACAGTCCTAAATAATTACTAGGTAGTCCCAATATGTTAGGGTACTATATGCATGAGATTGTTCATATAGTCAATTTTTGTACTTCTGTCATTTAGTTATTATTATTATTATTATTATTATTATTATTATTATTATTATTATTATTGTTCTTATTATTATTATTATTATTCTTCTTATTATTATTATTATTATTATTATTATTATAGACAAAAAAAATTTAAAAAGAATGTTTCTTATCAAAGTGGTATTTCTCATTATGAATAACAAATACATTAATTAGTTCATGGAATCATCTTAGACCTTGTTATGTTTGGTATCAAACAATGATTGGGCATTCCCAATGTGTGTAGGGTATTTACTATAATACTGATCATAGGTTCAATTTGTCAACTCTTGTCATCTATACTAATATATTATACGGTGTTTATAAAAACGTCCATATGCCACATAGATCCTTTTAAATTACGCCACGTCACTTTACAAATACTTCATTACGCCATATCACCTACCCAACATCTCTTTATACCACATCATCACCAAAGCCACTACTAGAAAACAGCTGTCTTATGACGGAAAAAATCAGTCGGAATCACTTGAAATCCATCGTAAAACCCTTTTCCGACGGAATTTCGTCGAAATGGTTGGTCGCAAACCGTTTTGTAGGAAATTCGAGTTTTTCCAACGGAATTCCGTTAGAAATGGAATTCTGGCACCTGTAAAAGTCCGTTGGAAATTCAACGGAATAAATATCCGTCGAAAAAGTCAATAAAAAAAATAAAAAAAAAAACTCCCACCACCCCCACCACCAGCCCCACCAACCCCCTTAAATTGAACCCACCCACCAGACTCAGCTACCACCCGACAACACCTCACCAGACCCACCCCACCTAACCCTAACGCACCCATACAGCCAAACTACCCCAACCGTAACACCACTAACCAAACCCAGCAGCACACCCACCCAGACCACCCCCACTCACCACCACACCCACGTACTTCACCCACCCCACCCCACCTAACCCTAACCAAACTGAACCCACCCCACCTAACCCTAACCAATCCGAACCCACCCAGACCACCCCCACCCACCGAAATTTTCCGTCGGAAGCTAAGTGTTTTTTGATATATTTGTATTCCATAGGAATTTTCCGACGGAAAATCTAAATTCGTCGGAAAGTTCCGACGGAATTTAAATCCCTCGGAAATTACGTTGTTTCCGACGGATTTTCGTGTCCGTCTGAACACGTCCGTTGTAAATAGCCCTATTTCTAGTAGTGACACCCACCCAGATCACCCCCACCCGCCACCACCCCTACCCACCGTACCGTAACTGATCGTACCCAGACCCTAACCCACTATACTAACCCACAAACCCAAAAAATAAAAAACCCAGGGAATTGAAAACCCAGAAAATCGAATCCTAACCCACCCACCACCACACCCACCCAGACAACCCCTACCCATAATTAAAAAAAAAACGAAAAAAATTCATAAAAAAAAATGAGAGGATGGGAGGAAAATTGAATTCGTCGAATTGAACAAATCTAATATATAGAAAAATTGAATATACAAATAAAAAAAATCAGATCTAACCCACAAATTGAAGAACAAAATCCGAAAAAAAAACAAAAAAACAGAAACATATACAAATCTAAAATCAAAATCTGAAAAAAAAAACAGAAAAATTACAAAAAATGTTCTTCAAATCCGGTGAAAACCCAGATGCTTTTTTGTTAAGGAAATCGTACGGTGAAGATGAGAAGTCGTCGGTGGTGATGATGAGAAGTCACCGGTGCTATTTTGTTTGGAGATTGCGTGGTTTTGCTTCAGAGGATTTGCGAGAAGAGAAAGGCGAGAAGAGGAAAGAGGAACGAGAAGAGGAAAGAGGAGAGGAGAGAGAAAGAGAAGAAGAGAGGAGAGATAAAGAGAAAAGAGGCAGAGAGAGAAGAAGAGATGAGAGAGAAATGAGAAATGAGAAATGAAAGGGGAGGGGGGATTTTCGAGTTTTTTAGGGTTTTAATTAATTTTAATTTATATTTTTTTTAAGTAATAAATCCGTCGGAAAGGCTATAAATTCCGTTGGAAATTTCCGATGGATTAAATTCCGTCGGAAATTTAATGTTCCAACGGAATATTCCGTCCGAACCTTCCGTTAGATTTTTTTCCGTTTGAAATTTACTTTTCCGACGGAAATATTCCGTCGGAAAGCCTGTATTTTTCGACGGATTTATATTGTGTCGGAAATTTCCGACAGATTTATATTGTGTCGGAAATTTCCGACAGATTTCCTACGAAATAAAAACCCGTCGAA